CCCTGTGGCAGGAGCCCCGCAGGCCATTGTGTGACACTTGGCCGCCAGGGGTTTTTTTCCGAGGTTTCTCTCCCGCAGGTGCCCTCAAGACCAGACTGTGCCATGGCGGAGGGATGCTTCGGACTGTGCCGGCTGCTCCGGAGGAAGAGGAAGAACAGGAGAGGCCCTAGAGCTGGCCCAGCACAGGAAGCAGAGGAGGAGGTGCAGCACTTCCAACCACTGCAGCAGGGTGAGTGCTGGAGCTGGGCCACAGGGATGGTGGCTGCAGCCAGCTGGACGCCTTGCCGTCCCCTCTGGACATGTCCGGGGAAAGGGAGGGGGAAAGGGGTGGCCAAGGCTGATCCCCCCGGCATCCGTGCTCCATCCCCTGGGCATCCCAGGGCTGGCCCTGCCTGTGCAGCAAAGGGCTGGGCTGTGTTCTCTGGCCTCTCCCGCGGCCCCTCAGCTCTGACTGCGCTCGCTCTTTGCCAGATCCAGGCTGGGACCGCCCAGAAGAGCAGGACCACGCCCGTGGCCACTTGCGCAGGGCGGTTCAGGTACCTGCAGCCATCCCCCCCTGGGCTGGGCCTGCTGTCCCTGCTCTGCCTGGCACCGCTGTCAGAGCACTCCATACCACTTCCCTCTCTTCCCTGCCCTTTCTTCTCCTGCAGAGGTTGCTGAAATTCATGGGTGTTCGGCGCAGAACAGCCACGACCGCACCGCCCGAGCTCATGGCACAGCCTGACACCAGCGCAGCTGAGCTCGAGGCGGAGCCCCATGTCAGCACTGCACCGAGTCACTGTGCAGCCAGTGGTGACATGGCACCCATGGATTGTGCTGCCAGCGGTGACATGGCACCAACTCATGTCACAGCAACCTTGGACATGGCAGCAATTGATGGCACAGAAACCGCTGACGTGGCAGCCATTGATTGCGCAGCCACCTGTGTCATCGCACCTCCTGATGGTACAGACATCGCTGAGATGGCACAGCTTGATGGCAGAGCAACCACTGACATGGCAGAGGTTAATGGCACAGCCACCTCTGACACGGCACCGATGGATGGCACAGCCACCTGTGACACCACGCTGGCAGACACCGAGACAAGCTCTGACACGGCACCAACGGTTGTCGGGGCCAAAGCTGATGACACGACTGAGGGCATCGCAGACACTGACCGCACGCCCACGCACAGTGTGACCGATGCTCCCAGTCTGGACCTGGCACAGCCTGACACCAGCAAAACCGAGCTCGAGGCGGAGCCTGATGTCAGCACTGCACTGAGTGACTGTGCAGCCAGCATTGACATGGCACCGACTGATGTCACAGCAACCTCGGACGTGGCAGCAGCTATTGGCACAGACACCACCCACATGGCAGCCATTGCTTGCGCAGCCAGCTGTGACACGGCACCGGTTGATGGCACAGACACCTCTGACCAGACACCGGTTGATGACACAGCAAAGTCGGACATGGCACCAGTGGAGGGCACAGAAGCCACTGACGCTGCGCCTCTTGAGGGCAGAGCCACCTCTGACATGGCCCTGATGGATGGCACAGCCACTTCTGACACGGCACTGACTGACACCGAGACAAGCTCTGACACGGCACCAACTGATGTCGGGGCCAAGGCTGACGACACGACTGAGGGCATCGCAGACACTGACTGCATGTCCGTGGACAGTGTCACTGATGCTCCCAGTCTAGGGGTTTTGGAGCAGAAAAGTGTCTCCGGTGCAAATGAAGTAAGCAGCCTGTGGCCAGGGCTTGAGCCCCCCAGGGGTCTTGGGGCCCCTCAAGCCGGCTCTGCCAGGCCCCCAGAGCCTTTGAGGCCAGCAGAGTGTGGTGGGAAGGGAAGCCCTTCCTGTGGCAAGCTGGGCAACCTGCTGGCTCTGGCAGCTCTCCAAGTGTCTCCCACTCCCCTCCAGGTGCCGGCCAGTGTCAGCCCCATCCACCAGTGGCTCACGTGCCAGGAGCCTGCAGAGGTCAGGCCGCCCACTGCCATCCGCAGGCTGGCCCACACACACCCTGGGCAGGTGGTGACGACTCTCCTGCGCTGTGCCCCAGCGTGTGACAGGTACAGGGCCCAGCTGCTTTGCTGCCTCAGGGTTCACCAGCCTTCACAACCCAGCCCCCTGGCCAGCCTGTCCCTCCTGCTCTGCCACACTGACACAGAGTTCCAGGTCCCTCTGGCCCCTCCAGTTCCCAGCCCTGGCACGTCAGTCCCCAATCCTGCTGCCATGTGCCCTCCCTGCCCCTCAATGCACTGTGGCTCTGTCACCTGGGCCCCCACAGCTGCCAAGGCCCAGACCCCCCTGACCCAGAGCTCTGGTTCCACAGAGCTGCTGCAATCCTGTGGAGGACCATCGCCTCCTCGGCCACCACAGCGCACAAGGTGCTGCCAGCGCTGCTCGGGGTGATGGAGGACTGGCCACTGCACAGCGCGTCCACCTCCGACGAGGACCACAGGGATATCTTTGCCCTGGCTGTGAGTTTCTGGCAGTGGCCTTTGCTCCTCCCCATGTCACCTCTGCAACGACTCTCCATCCTCCCCCACTGCTGCATCTCCCTCAGACCTTGGGCTGCAAATGGGGCTGGGGGGCAGGTTCAGGGGCAGCAGGCCGGCTGCTCCCCCTGGCTCTCCCTGGCCTCTCCCTCCCTCTGGGAACTGACGGTGTCGCCACGTGGCTTTCTCGCAGGCAACCCTGGCCCTGTGGCTGATGGTCCAGGAGCCCCAGTGCCAAGATGCACTGTTGGTTCATGCCCCTCGTCTCCTGGTGGCTCTGCTCTGCCAAGTTTCTATGAGCACAGAGCAGATGCCAGAGGAAGTCAGCACCTTCTGGAGGGGATGCCAGGAGCAACACGGACTTCCCACCCACCCCAACAGGTGCTCCATGCCCGTCCCCTCTCCCTGCCGTGCCCTCGGGGCTGGGGCCAGGGCTCCCAGTGTGACGTGGCCTTTGCTCTGCACACAGCTTTGTGGTGCAGACCATCCAGGCCCTGCTCTGGCGGCTGCAGTGGGACCAGGAGCTGGTGTCAGTGGAGCGCAAGCGTGGCTGGGACGCGCTCCTCTCTGCTGACACCCACCACTACGCGGTGGGGCTGCTGGCCAGGTGAGACAACCTTGTCCCCGCTGCCCCCGGCATCTCTGCCCTGGGCACGGGGCAGCCCACACAGCCCCCGTGGGCGTGGGCCAGAGGGCCTTGGCCCCAAGGGACGGCCGAGCCAGTGCTGGCAGAGCTTTGCCCACCCGACTCAGGGCCGAGGGTTCCCTTTTTGCCCTGACAGGGAGATGCGCCGTGTGTTGATCCCCTCCTATGGCCCACTGGCAAGGCACCTGCTGGGGCTGCTCAGCAGGGAGGGCCTCCGCTGGGAGCTGCCTGCCCTGGCCTTCCTTGTCGAGGTGAGCCTGATGGCCAGCGCTGCCTGGCCCCGCTGCCTCCCCCTCTCTGCCCTCTGGCAGCCACAGCTGCCCGGGACGGTGCCTGCACCCTGTGCTGCTGCCTGGGCCCAGCCCTGGCCGGCTCTGCACTCCTGCCCCCCGGCCACCCCGGTACTACTCTCTGCCTTCCAGGTCCTTGACTATCTGGACGGCAGCACCTGTCACGACAGTGTCCTGCAGATCCTGGCAAGGCACCTGCAGAGCCAGTGCCCAGAGAGGCGGCGCCTGGCTCTGCGAGGGCTCCTGGTGCTCAGCGTGGAGCCCTCGATGGTGAGAAGGGGGCAGGGGCTGAAGCCACACGGGCAGCCTGGGGCTGGAGAGGGCAGTGGCTTGGCCTTGGCTGGACTTCGGGAGCTGTGACAGCTGCTCCCAGCTCTCCTGCCTCCCTCTTCAGCTGCCCAGGCCCTGTGGGACAGGCCTTTGGCCTCTGGGCCCTGGGGCAGCAGCGTGGGTTTGCAGTGCCAGAGTGGGGGTGGTGGGGCAGCTGTTCAGGGCTTCCCAGCACAGCCTTGTGTTCCACCCAGGCCAAAGGCATCTGCAGCCTGCCTGAGCACCTCCTGGAGCTGCTGCGTGATGGAGATGGAGAGTTGGTCGCCATGACCCTCTCCTTGTTCCGGAATGCGCTCCAGGATGGAGACAACAGTGACGGGTTCAGCTCCACTGCCCCGAGGCTGGCTGAGGCGCTCCGGCCAGTCTTTGACAACGTAAGGCTCTGTGCCCCCAGCCACAGGCACTGGGTGCTGTCCGGAAATTTGGGGGAGTTTCAGGCGTGGACCTGGAGGGCCTGGAGCAGGCAGTGCTGAGGTCTTTGTGTCTTCTTTGGTCCCAGGACAACAGCCACGTGCAGCTGCTCTCCATTCGCCTCTTCCGAGAGGTGATGGAGTTGCTGGCGGAAGAGGGAACAGAGCCCTGGGAGACGCAGGTGCGCCAGAGCCTGGTCCCACTGTACTTCCGCTGGCACGACGAGAACCAGCGCGTGGCAGAGGTGAGCACTGCTGGGCTCTGGTGTCCCCGTGGCAGGGGCTGGGCTGCCTCCTACCCTGGGGCCTCAAGGGCTCCAGCCTCCTGCTGGCCTTGGAGCAGGGACGCAGGGGCTGTGCCCCAAGTTGTGGTGCCATGTCCCGCTCTCTGCTGCTCTGCAGGCCGCTCGGGAAACGCTGCTCTGGGCTGCAAGCTTCCTCCAGAGGAAGGACCTGGAGCAGCTGCTGAAGACAGAGCAGCCCTTCAGGTTCTGCGATTGCCTGGTAAGGACGAGCACGGAGGCCCAGCCCCAGGCTGGAGAAGCCCCCAGCCCCTGATGCCCAGTGCGTGGGGCTGGCCCCGTGCCCGTGCCCACTGCTGCCCCCCCAGACACCCCCCTACTCTCTGCAGATGGAAAAGGACATGAGCCAAAGGGGCGAGCACCTGCACCAGGCCCTGCCCTACCTGCAGAGCCCACAGGAGCCCCTGCGAGAGGCGGCCGTCAGATTCATGGGTGAGCCCCAAGGCCACGGTCCCTCCCCACCCCGCTGCAGTTTGGCCCCAGCCCCGCAGGATGCGACCCAGGGATGTGCTGGGGAGCCCTGAGTGCCCTGGAGGCTGCTGCCGCCCTCTGCCAGCCCAGCCCCGGGGCCTCCCGATGTGGAGCCCCTGGGGCCCTGACAGTCTCTGTGTTCCCAGGGGTGGCCGGCTGGCACATGAGGGAGCAGCCGCAAGACCTGTGGCCCATCCTCAAAGGTGAGTGAGGGCAGCAGGGCCTCCCTGGGGGCTGTCGACGACCAGCACAGACCCTGGGCAGGGAGCTGCAATCCCTGCCCTGCCTGCACAGGGCTCTGCTCCCTGCACACCGTGGCCAGAGCACACAGACATGGCAGGGGCACCAGTGGGTGCCCATTGGTGCCCAGCACTTTCCTGCTCATCCTCTTGGCCCCTGCTCCCTCCTGGCCGTGCCAAGAGCTGCCTGGCATGGCCCTGGTAGGGGGGGCTCCTAGGGTCCCTGCACAGCCGCGCTCTGACCCCGCCTCCCTTCCTCTCTCTTCCAGCCCTTACAGCCATGAGCGAGGACGACTGCCCCTCCGTCTCCACCATGAGAGCTGCACTCATGGCCACTTACAGCCGTGCCGTGAGAACTCCACCTGCTCCGCTGAGACGACCAGTGTCCCTGCAACAGCCCCCCACCACAGCTCAGGGACCACTTCTCAGCGCGGCTGCAGCTCCAGCTCCAGCTGATGCTGGGCCCAACTGAACCAGCCCAGAAGGCCAGGCAGCTCCCGGCCTCTGTAGCCCCATGGACGGCTCCCTCCTTCCATTCCCTTCTCCTGACCCCACTTCATCCCTCCCCTTGCCCTGATGTTAATAAACCCTGGCTTTCTCCCCTTATCTGTGTCTTGGTGCAACTGAAAGGGCACAAACCCTCAGCCCTGCAGCTCACGGGCCCGCTCCAACTTCTCTTTTGCCCCTTGAGCCTTGGGCACACCCCCAGGGACACGGGCACTTCAGGCTGCAAAGGGGCCTGTCCTGAAGGGCCACTTGCACAGCATTGTGCACTTGAAGATCTTGCTGATCTTCAGTGCTGGGTGTGCTGGGGTTCCCCAAGAAAGCTACAGACTTGAGTCATCCCTGGGGAGGCAAGAGGCCTGCTTCCCAAGGGAAGTGCTTCCCAAAGAAGCACTGTCTCCGTTGGCAGTGGGTGGGATTTCTTGGACCCAACAGAGACTTTCAGGGCCTCATAGAGGGTCTGCCAAAGGCTTACAAGTCCTGCGGCCTC